CACACTTCAAACCATCCCTGTGTCCACAATTACGCTCCATTGACCGCATTTCTTTATTAACAACCTCGCTCCCTGTTGTGTCTGTTGGAAGGCTGAATACCTCATCCTCTGAATTACAAATCCGGTTCCCCACCCCCTGCCAATATAGTTTAAACCATCCCGTATAGCTTGAGCAAACCTCCCTCCCAGGATATTTGTGCCCTTCTGGTTCAGTTGCAACCCGTCCTTACTGTACAGGTCCCACTTTCCCCAGAATGTGCTCCAATTATCCACATAATGGAAGCTCTCCCTCCTACACCAGCCCTGTAGCCACGTGTTTAGCTGCACTTTCTCCCTATTTCTTACCTCGTTGTCATGTGGCACTGGTAGTAATCCAGAGATAACTACCCTGTTTGTCCTGGACTTCAGCTTCCAACCTAACTCCCTGTACTCGTTTTTCACATTCTCTGTCCTTTTTCTACCTATGTCATTGGTACCGATGTGTACCATGACTGCTAGTTGCTCACCCTTCCCGTTAAGGATCTTGAAGACACGATCTGAGGCATCACGGACCCTGGCACCCGGGAGGCAACGTACCATCCGTTCGTCTCGTTCGCGTTCACAGAACCGCCTGTGAATAGTTGGTGCCTCAATTTGTAGTCTGATGAAGCACCACTATTCTCATCCTACCTTTTACAGTATCTGTGTATTATCTCTTTAATGTTGCCTAATGTACTATACTGCATAGGCAGAAGTTTCCTCCAGCTAACTGGGAAATTGCCTTCCCAGTTATATCTTCAATCCTTGTGACAAAATCAATTTTCTTAGGCACACAGTAAGGATGGGTTGCAACTGAACCAATGGAACTACCCAAGGCTGAACCACACCCTTCGTAATCTTAGTGCAACATTCAGTCCAGAGATCAGTTTCTGACCACATGTCCGTACTATCACTATGTTTACATTTTTCAACTTCTGTAACACCACTTGATTCCACCACTTTCACAACTCATCTGATGAAACTCTATTCCATTATTACTCCAAGACTTGATTGTTCCAACACAAACCTGGCCGGTCTCCCATCTTCCAAATTTGATAAACTCATAGTCATCGAAAACTCTGCTGCCTGTACCTTTACTTGCAACAAATTCTATTCATCCATCATCTTTATGCTTACTGGCCCACACTGACTCCTTGTTAAATGTCTATATTTTAAAATTTTCTTTGTTTTTTTCCAGTCTCTTTAAGGCTTTTGCCACTGCCTACGTTCATAACCAGTTCCAGTTGGGCACCCCTATCTGTGCTTCACCAACTTCTGAAATCTTGTGCATCTCCCATTTTACTTGCTTGCAATTGACAGCTATATTTTCAACCGCTTAAGGCCTTGAGCTTTGGCTTTTCCCCCTTAAATCTCTCATCCTGCCTCTCATTCTGCCTTTTAAAATATTCCTCAAATCCTACCTCTTCAATCAACCCTAATGTTTCCTCGTCTGGCTTGGTGTCAAATCTTGTTTGATGAAATACTGATGAGGTGCCTTGGAACGTTTTATCAAATTAAATGCATTACACAGAGAGAAGTTGTTTGTGTTATAACTTTGACTTTTTCCCAACCATCTTAAGAGCATTAATAATGAACACTTTATTCTATTCCTTCTTTTGCTTGAATTGTCACGAAGTATTTTTTTTTTTACATCTGGCCTGTTTATTTTTTCTGACACCTTATCTCTCAAATATAAAATTGAAAGGTTTGTCTTTGGCTATTTTTGAGCTTCTGTGCACCATTTTCAGGAATAAGTTTAAAGAAATTCTGTTTCTTTGAAGTCAGTTCTTCAATCATCTTAAAGCTCAAGCTTGGAAGTTTTGATTAAATAATTCCAAAAAAGGAAGCTGATAGCAACTGGACAATTAAATTACTGCTTAATAAGGTTAATAACATAAACAAAATTTTAATTTATCCTTTAAATACCAGCTGTTTGAAATATGGCTGCATTTTTTCATTCTAGCGCAGAAGTGCAATTGTGGTCCTCAAACAGAAATAATGCAGTTTGATATGGATTTGCACATTCATCCTTTGATCATTTATGATTCTGATTTGGTTTAAAACCAGTCTTTAAACTTTTTGCTTGAGGCCAGTTATAATGTATGCTTCAAATGTGTTCCATTAAATGTTTAAAAATGATTGCAAAATGTGCAACAAAACAGTGATGTGTGCAGTTCTGAATTTTTTGTACAAGGGAACAGGTTATTGTGAAGAACTGTATCTTAGAGCAATTAAATGAAAATGAAAATAACTAAGCATCTGGCTATAAATTAGTTTCAATAAAGTTCATATCAGATGGTGTACTCTGTGCATTTTCCTTCCCTTTAACTATTGCCTACATAACATAAGCAGCTGTATTTATTTTACATGAATACACTGCAGTTTCAAATCCTTCATTTTGTATCATTGGTACCAAAATGTAATCACCTAGTGGTAATGTAATCAGTTTTTTTAGCTGCTAACCTAATCTTTGGACCACCACATACATACACATACATGCATTACATGCATGCACGCACACTTTCTCTCACTCGCACACACTCCAATTCATTTATTGCCAATACAGTGTATGTACATCACATGTATTTGCATGTATATGTGTGTGGGTGTATGAATATAAACATTCTATTTTCAACCTTTTAACAGTTGAGTTCTATTTACATTTTAATTAATTTTAAATTTATTAAGTTTAAATATGTAATATTTGTAATGTGTATTGCATTTTATGAGAAAATTAAAATCCTGTATCTCTTAAAAATAATACAGTTGCACAATTAGTTTCTGTCAGGCACTGCTCAAGTTTACATCAGTATTTCTGGTCCATTATTACATATCTAACTTATACGTGCTATTTAGTAACCAACCAGTAATCTGTTAAATAAGTAGTGTCTAAGATGCAAATCTTGTGCATTTCCACAAGCCTCACTCTTTGTTAAACTGTATGTGTATTAGATGGGGAAATCATTTTCAGATTTAAAGCGTTCTATTACTAGATTATTCAGGTGACATTTACAAAAAGAAGGAAAGATGGGCATTCATATGGCCTTTTGTGATTTTGGGACGCTCCAGACTGCTTTACAATCAATGATATACTTTTGATGTGTAGTCACTGTTGAAACAGGGTGAATTTGAACACTGCAAATAGCCATGAGATAATGTACCATTTAATCTGATTTTGTGATGTTGTTTAAGGGATAAATTTTGGCCAGGATTATTCCCCTGCTTTTCTTCAAAACAGTGCCATGGGATTATCAATATGTATCTCTGGACACCAATCAGGACTCAGTTTAACGTCTCATCTGAAAGATGACGTCTTGTGAAAGTGCAAGACTCCTTTAGTACTGCACTAGAGTGTCAGCTGGAAAATTGTGCTCAAGACAAGACTTGAACCCACTCTTCCAACTTGCTTTGTCACACTTTATTATAACAGTTGATCCCTAAGCTGTGAAGCAACCTTCTTATAGCTAAATGCTTTGCTGCATATGACAATCAAAAAACATTCTCTTTACAACTTTTCTGTAAATCTAATAAACCGTACAATAGCAAATGGGTTTACAGAACTCTCTGAAAACATTTAGCTCCTCCTTCAGTGATAAATGTTTTGCTCATCTGTATAACCTAATACCAATCAAGCAGCACCATAGTAATCATTAACAATGACCTGCAGAAAAATCTGCCAGAACCTGGCATTGCTTAAAGATAACAAAAACAAAGTTGTTGGAAAAGCTCAGCAGGTCTGGCAGCATCTGTGAAGCAGAAAACAGAGTTAACGTTTCGGGTCCGGTGACCCTTCCTCAGAACTGATGGTGGCTGGGAAAACGTCAGTTTATATGCAGAAAATAGGATGGTGAGTGGGGTAGGGAGTAAACGATAGGATAGAGCCCAAAGAGAGAGAAAGACAGTTGGACAGACAAAGGAGTTGCTAATGATCAGGCTGGGAGGGTGAATAGTTGTTAATGGAGACTGTTAGTGACTAACAACAGCGGGTGTGTAATGGCAGGCTATGTGGTAACAAGGCCTGGTGTGTGGGGTGGTGGGCTGGGACATGGGAGAGTTTAGGCCCTAAAATTATTGAACTCAATATGGAGCCCAGAGGGCTGTAGGGTCCCCAAGCGGAAAATGAGGTGTTGTTCCTCCAGCTTGCGTTGGGCTTTGCTGGGACACTACAGCAAGCCAGAGACAGAGGTGTTGGCCAGGGAGCAGGGTGGTGCGTTGAAGTGGCAGGCAACAGGTAGTTCAGGGTCTTTTTTGCGAGCAGAACGTAGATGTTCTGCGAAGCAGTCGCCAAGTCTACGCTTCTTTTCCCCAGTGTAGAGGAGACCACATTGTGAGCAACCAATGCAGTAGATTAGATTCTGGGAAGTGCAGGTGAAGTGTTGCTTCATCTGGAAGGTATGTTTGGGCCCTTGGATACTGGGGAGGGAGGAGGTAAGTGGGCAGGTGTTGCACCTTCGCGAGTTATAGGGCAAGGTACCGTAGGGCTGCGGGGAGGTGTTGGGGATGAAGGAAGTGTGGACCAGGGTGTCCAGAAGGGAACAGTCCCTCCGGAAGGCGGACAAGGGAGGGGAGGGGAATATGTGTCTGGTGGTGGCATCTTGCTGGAGGTGACGGAAATGGTGTCTGATGATCTTCTGGATGTGAATGCTGGTGGGATGGTAGGTGAGGATAAGGGGAACCCTATTGCTGTTGTGGGAGGGAAGAGAAGGGGTGAGGGCAGAAGTGCGGGAGATGGGTCAGACCTGGTTGAGGGCCCTGTCGACAATGGAGCCGGACCTGAAACGTTAGCTTTGTTTTTTTCCTTCACAGATTCTGCCAGACCTGCTGAGCTTTTCCAGCGACTTTGTTTTTGTTCCTGATTTACAGCATCCGCAGTTCTTTTGGTTTTTATTGCTTAAGGATAAACTTGCTATCAAAAATCATGCTGAAGATAGAGAAATTTTGTAATGTGTCATTAGTAGTTACTTGTTTTCTTGCTCCCTCAGATACAGCTCCCTTCAAAAGGAAAAGCAGCAAATGTTGGAGGATCATGACAAAGATGTAAGGCAAATGCAAAATAAACACGATTCTGAGCTCAACTACTTAAAGCAGGAGCATGCGCACTCAGCAGCCAAGGTATACAGATACCACCAACTTTCTCGCCAAACATGTATATATAAAATACCAGCATTTTTTTTGTTTAAATTCACCATCTATCAAACTTTTTGATATGTAAAATTCGGAACTTTTTCAAGTATGTTCCTTCAAATTAAATGTATTGAAAGTGGCAAATATAACTGCTCTATTTAAGAAGGGAAGGGGAGGCACAAAAGAGGAAACTATAAGCCAGTTAGCTGGACTTCTGTCATGAGAAGTAGTTGAAATGGATGATTAAGGAGGTTAAATCTGGGCACTTGGAAAAACTCAAGGTAATGGGGGTGGGGGTGGAGTGGTGAGCGGAGGTGGTGTAAGTCAGCATGGTTTTATGAAAGGGAAATTATTTATATCAAATGTATTGGAAATCTTGGAAGGAGTAGCTTGCACTGTGGGTAAAGGGGAACCTGCTGATACACTGTACTTGGATTTTCTGAAAACATTTGCAAAGATTCCACATAAAACACTATTGTGTAAAGTAGGAGCCCATGATATCATGGTTAACATAATAACATGGATACAGACTGGCAGGCTGGTAGAAATCAGAAGTATGCATAAATTAATCTGTTTCAGATTGACATCATGTAACAAATGGAGTCCCACAGGAGTGTGTGCTGGACCCCCAGCTTTGTATAATTCAAATCAATGACTTGGATGAGGAGGCAGAAGGCATGATGACTCAGCTGATTGTTCACCAGATAGCAGGACTGTCGTACAAGATGATATTGGGCAAACGATTGTGTATTCACTGGAGTTTCAAAGAATGAGCGATGATCTCATTGAAACCTCCAAAATACTTAAAGGGATAGGGTAGATGTAGGTAAGAGGTTTCCTTTGATTGAGGTGTCTAGAACCAGGGAGCAGAAATTAAAATTAAGGGAATGCCACTTAGGACCGAGATGAGGATTTTTATTTTAGTCAGAGGGGGTGAATCTTTGAAAATCTTTACCCCAGAGGGCTGTAGAACTCAACTCATTCTTTTTATATGCTTAAGGTAGAGATTGATAGATTTCTGATTATCTATTGTCTGCAGGGTTATGGGGGTAGTGTGGGTATAAGGCATAGAATCATTTGATCACCCATCGTTGTAGTAAATGAAGGAGCAGCCTCGATGGGTTGAGTGTCCTATTCCTGTTCTTATGATCCATAGATAGATATGAAGGATGATATGGATAGGTTAAGTGAGTGTGGAAAAAATTTGGCAAATGGAGTAAAATGTGGGAAAATGCAAAGTTTTTCACTGGTAGGAAAAATAAAAACACAGGTCTTACATAAATGAACTGCAGAATTGACGTGCAGAGGGATCTATATATTCTAGTGCATGATTCTCAAAAGGTTAGAATGCAGGTACACCAAGTAATCAGGAATGCTAATGGGATGTTGGCCTTTATGAGAAGAATACAAAATTAAAAGTGTTATGTTTCAGTTATATACATCATTGACACAAATATTGGTATACAGTCTTGATCGCCTTCTTTAAAGAAGGATGTAAATGCGTTGGAAGCTGTACAGAGGAGGTTTGCTAGATTGATACCTGGAATGAAAGGCGTGCCTTATGAGGAAAGATTGGACAGTCTGGGCTTGCTTTCCCGAGAGTTCAGAAGAGCAAGGGCCAATTTTACTGACGCTCATAAAATCCTGAATGGCCTTGATGAAGGTAGATGTGGAAAGGATGTTCACACTTGTGGGTGAGTCCAGAACTAGGGAACACTATTTTAACGTTAGGGGTCACCCTTTTGGGATAGAGAAAAGGGGAAATGTTTCCTCTCAGATGGTTGTATGACTTTGGAACTCTGTCTCTGAGGGCAGTGGAGGCAGGGTCATTGAATATCGTTAATGTAGAGGTAGATTCTCTTTAGGCAACGGAATCAAGAGTTACTTGGGATAGATAGGGATGGTGACAGGTTAGCCATGATTTATTGACTGGTGGAGCAGGCATGAAGGACCAAATGGCTTCTGCTAAGTTTATATTTATATACTTGAATATGTTTGCTTGTTTTAATTTGGCAAAATCTTCACAACTTTATTTGCCTTGCAACATCCCACGTTAGCTTAATATTGTCTTCTTTGGGCACACTTTTATTGTGTCCTGAATTTGAGAATTGTGCAGGACTATTTTGTGTACCTTTTGTTTGCTTTTAATTTCCATTTCTTCTTCTTGCACCAGGCCTCTAATGTCATTGAAGAATTGGAACAGAATGTCTTCCAACTGAAGAAGGAACTGCAGGAAAGTGAACATCAGAAACAGCAATGGCTGAGGGTAGGTTCTCCGAAGGCTAGGCTTAGAAAAGGTGATCATGGAATTATCAAATTTTTGCAGCATATTCATGTTCAACTAATTGTGTTCATGTCAGCGTTCTACAAGAGCAAGTCAGCTACTCGTACCCCCTGCCTCTGCACTGTAGTCCTGCAATTGTTTCTTCTTCAGATAGTTATCCAGTTTTCTTTAGACAGCTGTGTTGACCCTGGCTCTGCCACACATTTAGGCAGTCTAGATCAGACCAAACTCTCTTTTTCCACATATTGTTTTTGGTTTATTTGCCATTCATCTTAAAGCTGAGTCCTCAGGTTTTGGGACGAATAATCAATATAGGAGGGAGAAAAAGAGTTGGAAAATGGTAACTAATCTTCGTGGAAATTCGAGTATAGTATGTCTTCAGGTTCCCCTTTATCTGTAAGGATACATACATATTCTTATGTAGAAGGTTAAATTTGCTACTTTCCAGTCCAATGGAACCTTTCTTGAATCTAAAGAAGTTCTCTTAAAATTAACGCCAACCCAACAAATGCAAGTAGACACAAAGTGAGTGAATGTTTAGAGAGCAACTGAGCAGCCCTGCAGCCTGATCCAAACCATGTGTTGGGTACATTCACTGCGTGCAACGTACTTTGCAGCAGTGTTTGAATGTTAGTTGCCGGTGTGCCCCAAAGTGAAGATTTAAAGTGCAGAAGGTTCCTGCTTGTGGGTTGGAGAGGCCACTCGAAAATTCTGAGAGCCTCACAGGTGTCCGATGCAAACATCCGACGACAAGGGATGTATGTGGCTGGTATCCATGCAGCATGCCCTGAGATTTTATTACCCGGAGGAGCTAAGGTGAGCTAGAGTTGGTATCACCCTGACTCCCAGGAATTGTCAACGTCTAGTTGATTGGACAGATGATAGGCCATGAAACTGCATATTAATGAGGTGAAATTTGGTGCTTGAGATTAACAAGTAATAATCCCAGTTAATACGCATCTTGCCACCACATAGTGAGAATCTCATTTCAACACTCAGAATTTACTTGGAAATGCAGCTATTTGCTCTCAGTGTCCAGCAAGGCCTTGTTAGGTTTCTCATGTGATTCTCTTGGATTTTTTGCCTATGTTATTCAGACCTCTGTAAGATTCCACTAAAGTTTCTTCTTCCACTGATGATGTTTCTGCTAGCAAGAATTCAGCTTTTGAGAAAAGTAATTGACTGGCTGTTTGATCCCCAACTCATTGTCCTGCAAGAAAAGTGCATTAATATGTACCCCAAAGGCATCAAGACGCAGTTTAAATGCCTTTCTATCATTTAGTGCTGCTAAAATCAGTGCAATAGACAGTACAGTTTTTAAGGTGCCAAGACAATCCTACACTTCTCTGTCCATTCAAATTTCTTACTTTTCTTTAACAATCTTGTCAGTGGAAACACAATGCTGAAATTCAGAACGAACTTACAATGGAACCCACCCATACCCCATGCCACAAAATCTTTTGTTTTAGGTACCAGAAAATCCTTCCTTTTGCTTCTGTGGCTGTTGTTTGGCCCTGTCTCATAGTGTAGACCATATAAATGTTTTAGATTTGGCAAAATCACTTTTTGCCAAGTTTATGATCAAATTGGCTGCTTATAACTAATCAAACAACTTGCCCAAGTGTTGTAAATGTAACTCCCAGATTTGGCTGAACACAACCAAATCATAATTACATACAACACAGTTGCTTTATCTTTCAAAGATCTTGTTAGTTAATCTTTGAAAAGTTGCTGGTACATTTTTTGCTTCAAATGGCATGTCTTTACATTGTTAAAGTCCATCACTGGTTATGAAAGCTGATATTTCTTTGACATGTCTGGCAGAATTTAACCACATCTTTATACAATCTTGCCCACTAAAAATGTTTTATTATTTTAACTCATCTTTCCCTACGACCCAAGTGACCTATCATTGGATTTTTGTGTGCCACTTGTAAAAATTTGTTGCAGCACCCAAGTGTAACTACCACTTTGGGTTCCGGCCCATTCCTCATTGGCCGGTGTTTGAGGTAAACAGTATTTTCTCATTAGCACCTTGTATTTTAAATAATATTCTCGTGTTAGTTCTGTTTAGTTATTGAGGAGGCTGTTTCTTACAGCTCTCTCAATTTGTCTGTTGTATTTCTGTTAAAGAATCTATTAGCCTCAACCTTTTTACCTTCCTCCCTTTTCCTAAATGTTTTGAAAAGTGGCAGATATCATAGTTATCCACTAAAATTGCCACCTCGTGAATTTTTAATACTTGACGCTCATCTAAATAAGTCTTGATGGCTACCAGAATATAATTTTGGAATTCTTTCATAATCTTGATTTACCTCACGTTGTTGAAATTTTTCTCTAATATTGGTGATCAAGCCCATTGATCTCACAGCAATTATTTTTCCTGTGTAAATTTTACAAATATCTGATCAGGTAGCTGTAGTGGTAGGCGATGGCCTAGTGGTATTATTGCTAGACTATTAATCCAGAAACCCAGCTGATGTTCTGGGGACCAGGGTTCGAATCCCACCATGGCAGGTGGTGGAATTGGAATTCCAAAAGTAAAAGTCTGGAATTAAGAATCTACTGACGACCATGAGATCATTGCCAATTGTCGGAAAAACCCATCTGGTTCAGTAATGTCCTTCAGGGAATGAAATCTGCCACCCTCACCTGGTCTGGCCTACATGTGACTCCAGACCCACAGCAATGTGGTTGACTCTCAACTGCCCTCTGAAATGGGCTAGCAAGTCACTCAGTTGTACTAATCGCTACAAAGACTCAAATAAATGAAACTGGATGGATCACCTGGCGTCGACCTAGGCAGCGGAAAAGACAGCAGCAGAAACAGCCCTGTCGACCATTCAAAGTTCTCCTCACTAACATCTGGGGGTTAGTGCCAAAATTGGGAGAGCTATCTCAGACTAGTCAAGCAACAGCCTGACATAGTCATACTCACAGAATCATACCTTACAGACAATGTCCCAGACACCACCATCACCATCCCTGGATATGTCCTGTCTCACCGGCAGGACAGACCCAGCAGAGGGGGCGGCACAGTGGTATACAGTCGGGAGGGTGTTGCTCTAGGAGTCCTCAACGTTGACTCCGGACCCCATGAAGTCTCATGGCTTCAAGTGAAACATGGGCAAGGAAATTTCCTGCTGATTACCACATACCTCAGCTGATGAATCAGTATTCCTCAATGCTGAACAACACTTAGAGGAAGCACTAAGGATGGCAAGGGCACAAAATGTACTCTGGGTGGGGATTTCAATATCCACCACCAAGAGTGGCTCGGCAGCAGTACTACTGATCGAGCTGGTCGGGTCGTAAAGGACATAGCTGCTATACTGGGTCTGCGACAGGTGGTGAGGGAACCAACAAGAGGGAAAAACATACTTGACCTCATCCTTACTAATCTGCCAGCTGCAGTTGCACCTATCCTTGACAGTATCGGTAAGAGTGACCATCGCACAGTCCTTGTGGAGACGAAGTCCCGCCTTCACATTGAGAACAACCTCCATCGTGTTGTGTGGCAGTATCGCCGTGCTAAATTGGACAGACTTTGCACAGATCTAGCAACTCAAGACTGGGCATCCATGAGGCACTGTGGGCCATCAACAGTAGCAGAATTGTACTCCAACACAATCTGTAACCTCATGGCCGAGCATATCCCCCACTCAACCATTACTATCAAGCAAGGGGGATCAACCCTGGTTCAATGGAGAGTGCAGGAGGGCATGCCAGGAGCAGCACCAGGCATACCTGAAAATGAGGTATCAACCTGGTGAAGCCACCAAACAGGACTACTTGCACGGCAAACAGTGAAAGCAGCAAGCGATTGGCAGAGCTAAGCGATTCCACAACCAACGGATCAGATCTAATCTCTGCAGTCCTGCCACATCCAGTTGTGAATGGTGGTGGACAATTAAACAACTCACTGGAGGAGGAGGCTCCACAAATATCCCCATCCTCAATGATGGAAGAGCCCAGCACATCAGTGCAAAAGATACGGCTGAAGCATTCGCAGCAATCTTCAGCCAGAAGTGCCGAGTGGATGATCCATCTCGGCCTCCTCCAGTGGTCCCCAGCATTACAGATACCAGTCTTCAACCAATTCGATTCACTCCACATGATATCAAGAAACGGCTGGAGGTACAGGATGCTGCAGCCCTGACAACATTCCGGCAAAAGTACTGAAGACTTGTGCTCCAGAACTTGCCACTCCCTTAGCCAAGCTGTTCCAGTACAGTTACAACACTGGTATCTACCCGACAATGTGGAAAATTGCCCAAGTGTGTCCTGTATACAAAAAGCAGGACAAATCCAATCCGGCTAATTACCGCCCCATCAGCCTTCCCTCGATCAGCAGTAAAGTGATGGAAGGGGTCATCAACAGTGCTATCAAGCAGCACCTGCTCAGAAATAACCTGCTCAGTGACGCCCAGTTTGGGTTCTGCCAGGGCCACTTAGCTCCTGATCTCATTACAGTCTTGGTTCAAACATGGACAAAAGAGCTGAATTCCAGAGGTGAGGTGAGAGTGACAGCCCTTGATATCAAGGCTGCATTCGACCAAGTGTGGCATGGAGTAGCCGTAGCAAAACTGGAATCAATGGGTATCGGGGGCAAACGCTCCGGTGTTTGGAGTCATACCTGACACATAGGAAGATGGTCGTGGTTGTAGGAGGTCAATTATCTCAGCTCCAGGACATCGCTGCAGGAGTTCCTCAGGGTAGTGTCCTAGGCCCAACCATCTTCAGCTGCTTCATCAATGACCTTCCCTCCATCATAAGGTCAGAAGTGGGGATGTTTGCCGATGATTGCACAATGTTCAGCACCGTTCGTGACTCCTCATACACTGAAGCAGTCTGTGTTCACAATCAACAAGATCTGGATAATATTCAGGCTTGGGCTGACAACTGGCAAGTGACATTCGCGCCCCACAAATGCCAGGCTATGACCAACACCAATAAGAGACAATCTAACCACCGTCCCTTGA